AAAAAAAAAAAAAAAAAAAAAAAAAAAAAAAAAAAAAAAACAAAGGAAAGTCTGAAAGTCTGAGAAACCATCACAGCCCAGAGGAGACTAAGGAGACATGAGGGCTAAATGTAATGTGGTCTTCAGGATGGGATCCTGGAACAGCATTATGTAAAAACAAAGGATATCTGAATAAAGTATGAACTGAAGTTAATGATGATGTATCAATATCAGTTCGTTAATTGTAACAAATGTACCACATTCGTGTAGAATGTTAATAATAGGGGAAGCAGGGTACAGGGTATATGGGAACTCTACTGTTTTTACAATTTTTCTATAAACCTATAACAATTTTTTTTTTTTTTTTAAAGATGACCGGTAAGGGGATCTTAACCCTTGACTTGGTGTTGTCAGCACCACGCTCAGCCAGTGAGCAACCAGCCATCCCTATATAGGATCCGAACCCATGGCCTTGGTGTTATCAGCACCGCACTCTACCGAGTGAGCCACGGGCCGGCCCTCTATAACAATTCTTAAAAGCTTTTTTTTTAATTTGCCAGATTGTACACTTTGATTCTATGCAGTTTATTGCATTGTCTGGTGTTCTTTTCATGGGAAGATTTGTTAACAACTGATTCAATTGCCGTAATGGCTATAGGATGACTCAGACTTCATTCTTCCTCTTGAATTTACTTTGGTAAGTTACAATTTGCTGGGAAATTTCCCATTTAATTACTTACAGCATTCTGTCATTATGCTTTTATTTTATTTTTTGTTTTTGTTTTTGGTGGCTGGCCAGTACAGGGATCCCAACCCCTGACCTTGCTGTCATAACACCATGCTCTAACGAACTGAGCTAACCAGCCAGCCTTTATTATTATCCTTTTAATGTCTATAAAATCCATACTTATATCTTTTATTCCTATTATTGTTTATTTGTGCCTTATATCTTTTTGTCTTGAGAAATTTACCCAGATTTCTACCTATATTATTAGTCTTTTCAACTTTTGGCTTTGATAGTCCTATTTTATCTTTCTAAACACACATCCCCAAGGTCCACTCAAGTGGCAGGAAGACTGGGCACCCCTGCCTGCCCTTGGGGGGTGGCAGGCTCTCCTGGTCAGCCTCCTCCTTTCTGTTGTCCAGCAGGGTCAGATCCAGCTGTCCCTTGCCTTTAGACTTTTCTTGGCAATCATCTGACTCCAGTCTACAAGCTCCAAGGTCAGAAGTCAGCCCCCCCCTCCTTTTCCAGTGGTTCTCTAACGTGGCTCCCTCCCTCCCCCTGCTCATAGTGGGAATGATTAATAAATAGAAAGGGAGAGGTTCTGGTCAGGGAAGGAAGGATGCTTGAGGCCCCTGAGTTGCAGGCAAAGCCCTCTTGGTGGCCACTGGGACCGGTGAGGGGAGGACACTGTGTGCACCTGGGAGCCGGTATGTATGTACCCTGAGCTGCACAGGAAAAGGGCCAGGGGGAGGCAGTGGGAGACAGGCAAGGCTCCCATCCTCCAGCCCCAGCACCTGCAGAGGCACCCAGCAGTCCTGCTTGGGCCACAGCTGAGCCTGAGGCTCCTCAGCCCGGGGACGCCAGGGGCTCTCTGAGCAGCCTGGCTGCAGGGACCCTCCTGAGATGAACCCAAGTCCCTTTGTGAGCAGGCCTGGGATGTGGGCGGCCTAGGATGAGAGGAAGCGGGGGGAGTGGAGAGAGGAGGTGTATGTGGGTCAAAAGGACTATGGTAGGCCGAAAAGTGACCCCCCACAAAAAGATATCCATGTCCTAAATCCTGGAACCTATAAGTGTGACTTTATTTGGAAAAAAGTCTTTGCAGATGTGATTAAGTTAAGAATCTTATTCTTTATTAATTATTTCTTAAATTTCATGATGGTTAATATCCTAATGCCTGATTTTTTTTTTTTTTTTTCCTTTTTGTCTTTTTTCGTGTCCGGCAACGGATCGCAACCCTCAGTGTCGCGCCCGTACCGGACTGGGACCGGCAACGGGATCGCAACCCTCGGTGTTCCTCCCGCGTCTCGCTCAGCCAGTGAGCGGGATCCGGTCTGTATGTGGGATCCGAACCCTCAGTGGGAGCGCCGCCGTGCTCCCAAGCGGTGCACTGTAGCAGTGCGCCACCGGGCCAGCCCTTACCGGTCATCTTTAAAAAAAAAAAAAAAAAGATGACCGGTAAGGGCTGGCCCGGTGGCGCACTGCTACAGTGCACCGCTTGGGAGCACGGCGGCGCTCCCACTGAGGGTTCGGATCCCACATACAGACCGGATCCCGCTCACTGGCTGAGCGAGACGCGGGAGCAACACCGAGGGTTGCGATCCCGTTGCCGGTCCCGGTCCGGTACGGGCGCGACACTGAGGGTTGCGATCCGTTGCCGGACACGAAAAAAGACAAAAAGGAAAAAAAAAAAAAAAAAAAAAGATGACCGGTAAGGGGATCTCAACCCTTGGCTTGGTGTTGTCAACACCAGGCTCAACCAGTCAGCAAACCGGCCATCCCTATATAGGATCCGAACCCGTGGCCTTAGTGTTATCAGCACCGCACTCTACCTTAGCGTTATCAGCACCGCACTCTACCGAGTGAGCCACAGGCCGGCCCTAATGCCTGATTTTTAAGGTGGATAAATTAAATATGTGTGTTATTCTCTTCGAAGGCAAACAAAACAAGCTATTTCTTTTTCTTGGTGTGGCCCAGATTTTTTCCTTTCTGCAGAGTGACAGCATTCTCATTTCTGATTCATAATATGCTGCCGGGTGTATTCTATTTTCAAATTTCTAAGAGAAGAATAAAATTATTTTCACAACTCACTAATATTTTAATAGTAGGAGACAAATACTCTAAGCTAACAATTGGTCTTTCCTGCCTTTTTTTTCCTTCTGCCTTCCATCTTTCCTTCCTTCTTTCCCTCTTATCGTTCCATCTTTTAAATAAATTAGGGATTTTGAGATGAGGAGCTTATCCTGGATTATGGAGGTGGGCCCTACGTGTCATCACAAGTGTGCTTATAAGAGACAGAGGGATTATGAGACACAGAAGAGAAGACACGTGAAGACAGAGCAGAGATTGGAGTGAGGGGCCACAAGGCAACGAAGCTGGAAGAGGCGAGAGACAGTCCCCTAGAGCCT